TTTTTTGTGTGTGTGTGTGTGTGCGCGCGAGTGTATGTTCTGCCTGCCCGATTCTCATTTCTCTGTTTTGTTGTGTGTAATTGTGTTGGAAATTATAAACGTATATTACAAAGGCAAAACACGTTTGAAAAGCGGAAAACTTTTTTTAAGACGGCCCGGCCCGTCTAAACCCACGACGGGCCAGCCCTTTTAAACCCAGCCCACCCATTAGGCGGCGTGGCTCGGCCCGTGAGTCCAGACCAATTTTGTCATGCCTATACACTTAGGGGGTGTATTCAAATGTGATTGATGTTAAATGACATTTTGAAATTTTTTAAAATTTTCAAATTCTGGAAGAATTATGTGAAATTTTAAGTGTGTAGGTAGATATTGAAGTGATATTTTGTATAAGGTTTTTTTTTCTATAAATCCCACCAAATCATAGCAAATCATAGTCTCAAGTAAGTTGAAAACATAAAGATTTTGCAAGACTTTTAAAATCTCAATTGAATATCCCAAAGACTTTTAAAAGTTTTAACAAATATAAATTGAATATAATATGATTTCTAAAATCTTAAAAAGTTTCTAGAAACTTCAGTTGAACACACTCCCTTTCTGTTTTGAGTCGTCAGTTCAAAGGATATGATTTATTTTAACTCTAACATAACTAGAAATTTAACTCTCACTCAATATTATAAAACTCGAGGATGAGATAAAGTACCTCATGTCAACTAACATTAGCATTCAACACAAATTGAGAGCAAATATAAGCTAAAGGTGAACAGGGACATGTCAGCCAAACAAAATACGTGACTCCTTTTATTTAAAAAAGTACAACTTAAATAAAATAAATCCACACAAGATGGAACAAAAATCTGCACCAGACAGAATTGGACAAGGCCAATCTGGTGAATTCCAAAGATTAGTTGGAGCAGACTTAACCATACAACACAAACACACCAAAACACAAATCAAACGACAACACAACAACAAACTAAAAACAACAAAAACAAATAAACTGCTAAATAGATTAAGGCTCTCCTTTTCTGCCAACAAGCTCGACACCGCATCCATCACCATGAACCATCCCCATAAGATGTCCAACTGAAGAGAAACCATACCACGATAGCAAGATTTGCATATACGATCACTCTAAAATTTCGGATCATTATTGGCTACGCAAATCCAATAACTATATCTCAAAGCTGTTCAATTCTGAAACGAACATCAACCGAAAAATATAAACGACCACCATATCTTCCTCGCCAACGATGACAAACTCGCCCGAAAACCACCAGCGAGAGAGAAGCTCGAGACAGAGGCGCTCCCAATTCCCACTCAAATCAGGACGACACAGGCGTGAACTCGAGACAACAAGGTGAGGAGATTTTCAAATTTGGTTTCTTCCTTCTTGGCATGAATGCTTAAAAAAATGTTTAGGGGTTTTTTTAGAAATAAAATATCTTCGTTTTAAAATGAATTATTGAATAAAGTGAATTATTTTGAATAAAATAGATTGAATGAGATATTGAGTGCAATATTTTGGATTTGTATTAAACTAATGTTTAATATGTAATGGTTAACGTTGATCTAATATACAAGTAAGAGATGGGTGAATGAAAATGATATATTATTTTAATATATATTAGTGGTTGTATAGTGAACTTTGTTGATGTGGGGAAAATCTAACTCCCACAAGTGGAGAATATTATTAGCCAACTCGGAGAATATAAAACTAAACAAAAACAAAAAGACCTACAAACACGAACACAACCCAAAAACGAAAACAACACCTTAAAAAACCCAAGAGATAACCCTCACCGCCAGCGAGAACAGCACACTGAAACACCATCTGAAGACCCAATACCCGAAGGCAATCAAACAAGGAGACCGAGAGCCCAGAACAGATCAAGAAACTCCAAAGAGTGCTAACTAGACTGGACCCAAAACAAACCAACATCCTCCAATCATACCTTGAGTATGATCGAACTCGTCTTCAAACGATTACTCTTGGTTCTCTTTGTTCCCCCCTTCTAATTGTATGCTCTCGTGGATTTCCTCGAGTGAAAGATGCGTTAAACCTTATTGGGCTCAACGTCATTGGAAAGACCCGGAACGTCTCGGTATACTATTTGTCTCGGCGTGCAATGGAGGTCTATTCAGAAGACTCGCCTACATTTTTACGCTTTTGTGGTGGCCGATCTCCGACAAGACCACCACCACAAAAACTCAACATTATATAAAATTATAACTAGAATAGTTTTTATAAAATAAAAAAAAAAAGAGAGGTGAAAAATGACATAATTATAAAAGAGAGAGTATTATGTAAAGAATTTATTTATCAGAACTGAAATATAAGTGAATATATAGAATCGGGAGTTCGAGACCGCATTTATATAGACTCAGATCGATTTATAAGAAATCGAGCACAAAAACTAAAAATTAGCACTTAAAGAACTTAGAAATGAGTAGAAAGAAGAGGAAGATGTTGTCATTTGTGTCAAAAATCTGATTTGGGTGAGGGAGGTATTTATAAGATTTTTTTGGGATTATTTTTTAAAATATTTTATATTTTTTAATTTACAGAACCCGTCGAGTCCAGGTTGGTCGGATCTTGACCGTTGGATATTAGCGATTAAGATGATCCAAAGTCAGATTTGAAAATTTGACCATTGGCCAACTATTGTGGAACTGTGTAGGCCGGGTCAAACTAGGACCAAAATCATTTTTTTTTTTTTATTTAAAATCTGACCGTTGCAAAAGCCTTCAACGACCTAGATTTGCTGGCAGCAAACGGTTTAGTAGCGGGCCATGACCCGGTTCACAAAAATCAAAAGTTTGAAAAATATAGCAAGGCCTCTTTAGGGCCAGTTTCGGGCATGTCCGGGCCCGACCCGCCGTGCTAGAAAGTTTTATACATGAGGCTTGAAACTGGCCCGGTCAAACTACGAGCTCGGTTCCAAGCACCACGGGCCAATTTTGGACCGTTTGGGTTGAACCGGCAGCGGGTCCGGCCGGGCCCATGGGCCCGTTGCCATGTCTATTTATTAGTACTCATTATTATTTATATAGGATAATTTAATGAGATGTAATTGAATTGGAGGGATTTAAATGGATTACCTTAAATTAATTAGTCAGGAAGGTATGGGCCGGCAGTAAATTCCCAATGGGCGCTCCTCAATAGCAACACAGAAGTAGCAACTTTGTCAGTTGTCTGATGGGCCATTAAAACTAGCCCATGTGGCCCATTAAGAATAAAATCCTCAATAGATAAATTAGCCCAAACTATAGTGGGCCGGACAAGTTTGTGGCAATGTGTGAACCACGCTTTCCCAATAAACGTTTAAGCTGAAAACACGTTTTCTATCCAACAGTAGGAAATTTTCATCTCCTTTTTTCAATCTTCAAGCTGATCGAGCTCAAAATTTGTTGCTATTTTGGGAACAGAAAATGCTGGGCCGTCTCGCTTCGCGGCGCCTTCATGAGATCCGGCAAGCTTTCCGTCAGCTTCCTCAGGTTTTTTTTCGCTTCTGATGTCATTTTCCGTTTGTTTTTTTTTTTCTTTTTGGTGGCGTCTTGTTTCCATT